TCAAGTCTGCAAAGGATAATACAACTTCCGGTCTACCTTTCAAAATAAGATGCAGGAATAAACAACCATAACAGTAGGGGAGGCAGTGGCCGTGCTGAAAAAGTATAATTGACCTACTACTAGTAAATACAAGTGTCATACAAATGTTGTGAGGTAAAAAGTACTATATTTCCCTCACAATTTTGCAAATGTCTGCATAATACTTCCACTCAAAAACTGCATAGGCCTACCTCTTCCTTTCAAAATAAGATACTGGAATATAAAAACAGATCAGTGTTGGCAGATGCTCTACAAAAGTACTTTATACCACTAATAGCATAATAATAATAATCATTTATATTTTTCTTTTCTTTTATTCAATTTTATTTGTACGGGTTTATGTCCTCAAAACTCAATTTAAAGTGGACCTATCATACTATTTTTAGGCAATAGCATAGGTCTCAGATATATAAAAACATATAAAAAACATGTGTTTTGCTCAAAATACCAAACAGATCACCCATTCTAGCCATGCCTCATATCCCTCTATTTCACTTCCTGTTTCAAAAGTGCTGATTTGGGGTATAAAGCTTTAAAAAATAATAATTTGATAACAAAAATAAAGGAGGGGTCTGAGCTCATGCGGGAAATTCTACCGGCAGATTCTGCCGTGATGAAACGCCATATCATGGATTATCAAGGATTCTCTCTGAAACAGTCTGGAGCTCAAAGGCTTTCTCTCTTGCCGGTTATACCACAAGGTGAGTTCCTTTTTACTTCCTGCTTCTTCACACACATGCTCTCGAGTACAGGTTAGCTCTGAGTGTTAGCGATGCTAATGTAAACACCGACCATATTACATCCAAAACAGTCGGGCATTGTTTCTGATAGCAACGTTTCTGATAGTGCCGTGGGTCTAAAGCCAGCCTACATTTCCGATATTGCGTCATTTCGGACGCAAATCTGGATCAGCTCCGTTGTTCCCCCGTTTTTAGAGCTTTGGGTACGGAGGAAAAGAGAGAGGGTTTTATTTTCTGATGCTGCGTGAGTTCCCTGACACACCGGGGACACATGTTTATGTATAAAAGACATAAAAAAGTGCATTTTGCATGATAGGTCCCCTTTAAATATTGCTATATTTTAATGTCATCTTAATTTTCTTAACCCTTGTGTTGTGTTCGAAAGCTGTTACCATTCATGGTGTTCGCGGGTCAATTTTGACCCATGATTTAAAAATTACTATCCTCCAATATTGTTTTAACTATATCATAACTAACTTATTATGCATTCATAACCGTACAATCCTGTTGTTATTTTATTTTATGGCCCCAGCCAGGGCCGGCCCGTAGCACTGGCGTTATAGATGTTCGCCTAGGGTGCCAGATCTGGGGGGGCGCTGCGCTGGTAGCTCTGGGAGGGGAAAAAGCATGTTTACCCGTTGGTGCTCATCCTAATTTTCCGCCAGCTAAAATCTCGCCTAGGGCAGCATATTGTCTAGACCTTGGCCCCACCACATATTGCACACGTGCATGTGTGTGTTCAGGTTCAAGTGTTAGTGTACATTTTCTTTGTGAAAGGTCGAGTTCCCGTGGGGGGAGGGGGGCAAAGGGAGGAGAGACCAGGTGCATGTTGCGAACAATTATTGTTACAGTGGATGAAGGGGGAGGGGGAGGGGTGTCTAAAGTCAAAGATTAATCTTGATTGGGCCAAATTTGACCCCGAGTCACCCACAACAATTCCCTGACCCGAACACCAAATTATACACTTTTTTTTCAAGAGACCTTCAGACTTGGCTAAAATTGTCAAAATCAGGTTTGTAGTGTTTAGCTAATGTGGAGGATATCAGGAAGCCTTGTTCCGATACAAAAAACTAGAGCGTAGTTATTATATCATTTTAACTTGAAACGGGTCACGGGAGACCCGAACACAACATTATGGTCCTTTTCTTACATTTTATCTGCTTTAACTTTGTTTATGTACGCACCAAATACACCAAAGCAAATTCCTCGTATGTGTTAACCTACCTGGCAACAAACCTGTTTCTGATTCTGATAGGCCTACATTCTCTGGCAATTTTGTAAATATTATTTTTTTCAAATGTCTGTTTAATTTGTATATATCTTCATATCGCTTTTCAAGGTTTTTCTTCCTTTTTAAACATCGGCTCTTATATTTTTCCTTTGAATTTAACTTACTGTACTAGAGTATGTGCCATTATACATCCTTCTGAAAATCTACTTGGCCAAATTAACAGAAATCTGATTATGACAAGTAAAAAGCTAGTATTCAAATGTTACTTACATTTACAAATGTATTGAGTAAAATGGATTTCAAAAATGTTAATTATTTGTCTTTTTCATTTTGCACAGCAGTCACAGAATAGTATGTTTCCGTCGGTGCTGCTGTCGGCCATCTGCCCTCTTCTCCTCCCTGACCTTTATTACGAAAGAGTAATTTAATCAGAGACATTTATCTGTAAGGATTTACTTTCTTCACGTGTGTAACTTAAGACTCTGACTGCTGCTTCGTTTCGTATATGACTGCTCTCAGGTTATCTAATGAATCTGTAAGCACATCCGGACCATGTGGCATCAAACACAAACACACACACACACACTTTAAAATCGGTTGACCTCTGACCTGTGTCCCTCTCTGACTTCCACTGAGGCCCATTAGTAGCATAGAGCTGCAGACTGATGCTCAGCAGGAGGTCGGCTGCTCGCTCCCTCATTAGTGACGAAAACATGCATACAAATAAGTGTGTTCACCTTTTTACTGCAAGTTTTGCCTTCTCATTGTTTTCAGCCACACAATAAACAACAATTAAGTCCTTTTCATATTCTGAATGGTTGGCAAATGCATTAACTAAGTACATTTACTACTGTACACTTAAGCAACATTTTGAAGTACCTGAGTAATATAATGTACTATTCTGAAATGGGCCTACATTTATGAACTCAAACAATTTTAAATACATTTATTGACAAGTATGTTATACTTTTGAGATAAACATTTTGAATGAAGGACTTTGACACGGCAGTACTACCTATTTTACTGAAGTGAAATATCTGAGTAATACGCCCAACTCTAACGCACATTTTATCAGTGGAAATTAACGAGAGTATGTCACTTTATTTATATTCTTTCTGGAGCAGAACACCTAAGGAAAATGTGAAATGACCTAAATACAAATATTTACAGGAGTAAAATAAAAAAGCTTGTGAAAGAAGTCAATAGGTTAAACCTTTTGTTTGATTTTCATATATATATATATATATATAATTTACTTTACAATCTGCAATCCGCTCACACGTTTTTAATACACAACAATTTGCACAATATCTGTAAATTGGAGCATATCATATCTTTAAAATGTAGATGAACATCTTCTACTTCTATTCTGGTCCAACGTATCCTGTATAATTTGAATATTCTAATTATTAAGTGGAATTTCTTCCTATGTGAGGCAAACAGGAAAAAAAACGATATGCATTTCTGCTCTTAATGTCACACACGTAGACACACAAACACACACGTACAAACATACACACATACACACACACACACACACACACACAAACAAACACACACACGTACAAACATACACACACACACACACACACACACACACACACGTAGACACACACACTGATGGAGGAAGTAAAGTCAGGGTAGCAGCTGAGGCTCCGAGCCAGTAACGCCAGCTGCAGATCGTCATACAAAACCACTGCCAGGTGGTCAAAACACACACACACACACACACACACACACACACACACACACACACACACACACACACACACACACACACACACACACACACACACACACACTTGTATTCATTTCATCCCTCCAGTATCTGCTCATCTGGTCCATTGTTGACGACCTCAGAGAGATAACTGCCTCGTTCACACATGTCGTTATTTTACATACAATAATAATAACTCCTGTCTTTAGTACTGGTGATAATAAAGCTCGTTATGATGTATTGATTGATATTAGTTTTCCTGTGTAATGATTATTGTCTGAATGAATGACAGGAAGGAGAGGAGGAAGCAGCTGCGGGAGGAGAGACTTGAGGAAAGGAGGACAGTAGAAACATTTATTGTGTCTAAACTCTGTATATGTAATTGTTATAATGGTCTGGCTGCTGTTTTTCAGCACAGACAAATGAATGAATCTCTAATGCATTCTGTACGTTGGAAAGCCCTTATTTAGCATTCATAAGCATTATAAAAACATGCAATATATAACGTTGTTTTAATCAAGTATTTTCATATATTCATCCACATCTATACATCTTCCTGTGAGCACCAAATTGTAAAGGCTGCTGTTTTTCTTACAATACTTAAAATGTTTCAATTCATCTTACTATCTTCCTAAAGTGAGTTTTCCTGTTGGTTCTTCGGCGTCACATAGTAAACTGCTTAGATCTGATGTTCAGCTTATAGTTACAGGTTGTATGCAGAGATGGCAAAAGTACACACATCCTTTACTCAAGTAGAAGTACAGATACTCGTGTTTATAAATACTCTGGTGAAAGTAGAAGTACTGACTAAACTTCTTTACTCAAGTAAAAGTAAAGAGGCTTTGAAATGTACTTCAGTAAAAAGTACCCATAACTAGCAGCTGCTTTACATTTATTATAGTGCTTTAAAAATACACATTACACATATTTTTTATACATGCAATGGTCACTGTGGACAATACCCACAGGAGAAGTGTCTTTCCCAAGGACACAACGGCCTGACGCAGTGGCAGCATGAGCGGGTTTCGAACTGGAGTTCCCCAGCACTCCCCTTGATCTGATGATCAGATGCACAGACCACTGCGCCACCCGTCCCGGTACAGGTATTTGGGTTCAACATGTAAGAAGTAGAAAGTACAGGTATTTGGGTTCAACATGTGAGAAGTAGAAAGTACAGGTATTTGGGTTCAACATGTAAGAAGTAGAAAGTACAGGTATTTGGGTTCAACATGTGAGAAGTAGAAAGTACAGGTATTTGGGTTCAACATGTAAG